AGTTTCAGTTTATTTTAAAAACCGCAAAACTTCGCGCTTTTTTTTTTTTTTTTGAGGGAGGGATAAGGTTAATGTGAAGGACCACTCATGTGCATTAAATATGTCATTTCTTTGAAGACCAGGTTTTGAGGATGTCAGAGTTTCTGCTACTAACTTCTTTGAGATGCATGGAACAGCCACTACTTTGAACAGCATGAGTTTATTTTCAGTGCTTGTTTTTCACTGCCAGAATGTCTCTATTCAGTTTTCTTACTCTGAATATCATTCTGATCCTAATTAATTGAAAATTAATACAGAAACATTTGTAGAGGAGAGTTTTGGAGAACATATTTTTAGTGTGCACATGCATTGTATAATTGAGCAAATTTGGGAAAAGGTACAAAAGCAGAAAACAATAGGTAGAAGTGTTTAGTACTCTAATTGATTTTTGAAGAAAATACAGCAGCAAAAGCATTTAGGTGTGTAAAGTAGTCTAAACTGTCTGGAATTTGTGAAGACGGCACATGCCAAGCATTACTTACTCAGTACATTTGTGTTGTTGATGGTGCAAGAGATTATTTTTTAATTACGGTATTAGAAGAGTTGAATACCATCCTAGGTACAAATTCCTTATAGGGGTTGCCAATCAGTTATGCTGTTGTGCTTGTATTAAATTTATAGCTGAACAACCCAGCACAGTAGAAGATGCTGTGTGACTTGCAAAGAGAACTTTAATCTGTGCAGTATCACTGCAGAGTAGTGCTAGGCATGCTATGAAATGTGTGTGGTGTGTGATTGGCAGTAGACGTTGGGAGAGGAACCCACTTGCCTGATTATTTGTCCCAGTCTCTTGGTACTTACACTAAATTGTGATTAAAGTAACTTCAACTCTATGACATCAAGCAGCATTTTCACTGCAACACTACCACCCCTTGAAACTTACAGCTCTTTCCTACTTACTTCCAGTCCATTTTGCTCTTTCTGTTAAGCTGTTAAAATTTTAGTAAGCATTAACACTTTGCAAATTCTCTTTTTCATTATGCTGTTCCTTGTCTTTCACTTTCTATGTGAAACACAGATAGCAGTTGTATATGATGTGGGAGCACAGCCCAGCTGTATATCTGAAGTTTAGGCAGTGTAATCCAAGTTTAAGGCTAACCAAGCCCCTCCATGCCCTTAGTTGCATTTCTGCATTCTAATGTGTCACTTGCAGCTAATTCCCACTAGCTGTGCAGAGTTGTCAGGTATTTTAATTTTCATAATAGATGTGTAATTTCAGCCTTCAGCTCTTCCCCCTGCAGTACTGAGGCACTCTGGTCATTCTGCAGGAGCTCCTTGCAAATCCCTGAATCACTCTTTCCTGAAATGCTGTTAGCATCACCGCAGTGTGTCTCCCTGGCTCTGCTTGCCATTGCACGAGTCAGGGAGCACGGAGCAGGCAGCTTTTCTTCAGCCCAACCTGCCATGCCACGTGCCAGCCATGCTCCTTTCAGCAATAGTGAGAGCCCTTGGAGCGCCAGGCTGTCCTGCGTTCAGGCGATGTGGCTCTGAACGGGAGCGGTTGGGGTGGAAGAGGATTGCTGAGGAGCAGGTGATGGGCAGGTGCCAACCTGGGTGTCTCAGAGCCCACCTTGGGCACGTTCTCTAGCTCCATGATCCCAGAGTCCTAGCTCCTTGAACAGCAGGAGAGGCTCAGGCACCAGCAGGCAGCTCGGCCGACCCGTGTGAGGGGTGGTTGTTCTCAGCTGGCAGCGCCAGGCGCTCCTGAGTGATGAGGTGGCACTTGCAAGCCAGACTGGAGTCCTTCTGTAAATAGTACTGGGTAGCAGTGCGGCAGAGGGGAACGATTTATGAAGAGAGAGTGTCTGCAGTTTTAAATAAAGTGTTAAAACAGCTGCACAGACCCAGATTTTAAGGTTCTGTGTTCCAATTTTAAATGTTACAGTCCCTCTAATTTTGGATTATTTTGACTAGGCACAGCTGTTAAGCCTTTCTCTCTTCCCTCTCCTCTCCCCAAAGAACATAAGCCTCTAAAAGTCTATGGTTATCTGTTGTAGTATGAGCCTTGCTGGCTATCACATATTGAATGAATGTTATTAACTACCTGGTGATTAAGTTGGAAGAGAGACTGGAAAGTAACTTGAAATAGGACAGTGACTAATTAGAAAGATAAAACCTAACTTGCAGTGGAAGATTTGTCAAAATAATGTGCCTAAAAATACACATTTATTAAGAAATTCTTTAACTTGGTTTGTTTTGGGAACTATATATATATATGTCACATCTGAAAATCTTACAAAAAGCTTTTACAGGTGTTTCTTCAGAAGACATTTTACTCTTGTTGCCTAAACAACAATGGCTGGCATTTTTTATTACAGTTGCCTTCCCAGGACGTTCAGTTAATCAATGCCTTTGAGAAGTAAGATCACCTCACCTGTGTAAAAACAGACCAGTTAAATTACTAAGAGCACATATTAAATGTTTTTGTAGCTTTGTTAATGTTAAGTTAATGTTAACTAAAATAACTCACTGTTACTAATTTAATTTCCTGAAGTAAAATATGGGGTGTTTTCTACATCTGAATGTCTTTTGCAAAATGTCACAAAAGACCAGATCAGGGTAAACAACAAAAACTTGAACCATATCACAAAGTTTAAGTTGTGGCATGAAACAAACCCTACAAAACATGGATTACAAATTTGCAAGTTCATAATGACTTAAGTAAATTGATAAAATCATGTTTTGGGATCTGTTTTTTGCTTTTAATGTCTGATGGTAATTTTCCAGCAGTCTAGTTTTAATGAAAACATTTACTCATGTAAATGAGGGTTTCAATTTGCTTATGTTGACAGTATTATTTATTTTCATAGGGAAAAATCCTTCCTTTCTTTACCACCTACTTTCAGAAATCTTTTGGAATGTACTAAGGAAATGTCATCCTTCCTTTGACATTCATGTTTTGTTTGGGTTTTTTCTTTTATTTTAGTTTCTATGAAGTAATGTAAACTCTAGCTTAATTTGATCTGGCATCCCCGCAGTTGAACATTTGTAAGTATCTTGTATTGTGGCCCATCTGGGTTGTCATAGAAACCAGAGACCTCCATCCTCCTCATTGTTGTTGAAAATGGAATGCAAACGGGGCATCAAAGTGACATTTTTTGTAGTACAAGTGAGAGCCCTGTGAAGATCCAAACAGAAAAGGTTCTCACTGGACTTGTGCTCCTGTGGCCTGTTGTAACAGTTGTTACAGTACACCCTGTTTTCTCTTGAATATCTAGCAGCTGGGTAATAGAAAAAAATGTGAGCATTGTGAAAAAGCCAAACTTGTGTGGTTAATCTTGTCTACAGCTTTTTCCTCTCTATCTTTTCTTGATGTATTTGTCTTGGACTGGACTGTTAACTAGTAAGGAGATCAGAGCATGTTACTGCAAATCATTTGCGTTGCGAGGGGCTGAAAGAACCAATTATGTAGCATGTCCACGTGGTTTAATGTTTCTCTGCACTCATCTTCTATCCTCTTACAGGAAAAAAACAGCCAAATACTTCTGGCAAATGTGTTGAAAGTTTTTACTTGCAAAATAGTAGAAATGCCAAGTGATCATTCTTCAAATCTGTATGCATTTAACAGATATAATTGCCGAATCACACACGGCTTCCCTTCCCCCACGTACTCTCCAGCTGTGTACTCAGCAGTTCTGCCGGCATGCTGGTGAATGGTCCTGTCTCCTCCCCAGGACAAAGAACCTTTGAAATCGCTGCTGAATACTCGCCAGTGCTGCCAATTGTACATGATTGTGGATTTCCAAAATAGGTTGAGAAATAATTTTCTAAATAGTGACTTGCTTATCGACTGAGAGACAGGCTCTGTCAGCATAAAGGGGGCACAGGAACAGTTTGGTTTTGTGTGTGGGAGAAAAATCTTAGTACAGTCTGTTCATGCTGAGCATGCTGTTGCTGGCCTGAAAGCAGCTGCCTCTATAGCCTCTGCTGCTGGTGCAGTTTCTCGAGCAATGTGGGTCACTGGGCAGGGTTCTGATCTTCTCTATATTGATTAAGGAAATGAGTTTCTGCCCTGTGCAAAAGATGAATCCTCTAGTCCAGAGAGCAACGCAGTGTGAGAATCTGTGCTGCTGCAAGAGTTAAAGGCTTGGAACAAAACCCCCTCTTTCGTCATTGCTCTGGTAAATTGGAAGAGGAAGATGAGAAATGTGGAGGCAGAATGCTACAATCCTGCATTATTTGTCTAGCTCATAATAAATACATTCGAAATGCAGAGTAGGGAAAGGCCTCTGAATTATTATTACTGTTTACATAGTACTAGTATATGTTAAATATTTCAAAAGATCTTTGCAAACTTGGTTTTCAGCCTACAGAGCATTGTGTGCTAATCATACAACATAACAGCAAGGAAGCAAAATAGGAAAAAACATTAAGAATATGGGTCTGTGGGGTTAAATCAAGCATAGTTTACTGCTCAGTTCTTGCTTATGTGTATATGAAATATACATGAAATATGGACTTTTTTCTTCAATGAAAAAAATCTCAAAGTATTCCCTGCACTACTACTTGTGTCACCTCAGACTTCTCTCTGGGCATAGGCCTGACATATCAGTGAGAAGGGACTTTAAAAGGGACTTGTATGACTGAAGTATGCCCTTTTTTTCAAGTAATTCTGATAAAATGTAGTGCTTTCTTCTACAAGCCCTCCCTGGCAGTGAGAAAGGACTAATTTTTGCTTGTCCAACTTCACTACTTTTCAATTTAGCTTTACATTGTCTGTGAGTGCTCTTCGCTTGTGGAGACCTGTTTTTTCTTACTCTTTTCTCTGTTTCCTGATTTTGTTTTTTGATACTGTTCTTTTGTTTTCTTCTGAGCTTCCTCACAATCAGTGACAGCTTGACTGTCTTCCTATGCAAACTGACAGATGTGTTTTGCATTTACTGTGATTTTGATAGAGAATCACAGAATAGCCTGAGTTGGAAGGGACCCGGAAAGATCATGAAGTCCAGCTCCTGAGTGAATGGTCCATATGGGGATCAAACCCATGACCTTGGCATTATTAGCACCATGCTCTAACCAACTGAGCATGAACATATTTATATATGATCCTCCAAACAATTGCCATGAAAGTCTACTGGCTCATAATTAATACTGGCTATACAGTGCAAAGTCAAGTATTTCTGTTTGCATGTTAATGAATGGGGTTTTTTTGTTTGGTTGGCTTTTGTTTTTTAAAATTTCTGCAACACTTATTACACATTGACATTTTTATTACATTTGGTTGATATTCATGTTGTTTCTTTTTTTCAAAGTAAAGTTAGGTCACTATTTACTGACACGCACTTGCATGTATTTAGTGATATAAAAGTGTGCATGTGTAGGATAGATCTTTTAAAAGCCTCTTTCCTCTGCTTACATCCTGTCTCAACTCCAGATGAATTACAATAGAGGATAGTTTTACCAAAACAAACAAATAATTCTATTCTATTCTCTTGAATGTGTGCCCTGTTGTATTTGTTAGAAAACAAAAAGAAACCCTGAATCTTGTTTCCCCGAAGCAGCCCTGCATTTCAGCATCAACTTGGTTTATTCAAAAGTAGTGTGAGGGAAAATGTTTTTTCAGTTGCTTCTTTCATCTAATACCCCCTCAACCTCAGATCCCACAGAACCTGCTCCCTAATACTGAAGCTCTTTCCAGCTTCTCATTTTGTGGAGGTTAACTGAGAAAGAGGGTTATGTGGAGGCTTATTTTTATGAACAGGAGTTTAAAAGGGTAAACATTACATATATAAAACTTTAATTAAACTCTTGTTGCAAAGACAGCGCAGCTTTAAGGTAGTTTTCTGGGTTAATAATAGAGCTTGAGATCCCAGTATGAGTAAAGCTACCAGACCTGAGGACACAAAGCAAGATGGCTTGCTGTAACAACCTGTGCTTCAGTTGCTAGGTTTCTGTAATCTTTTACTCCTTCTCAACAGTGCAACATGTGATTCCTTTAAAAAAAATCTGTCTGAAACCATGTGGAGGAAAACCACTGTTTTGTGATTTACAGCTATTAGAGACAGATGTGATAAGTGTCTTTAGAGAAACATGAGGGACCCAATGATGCTGTTTCTTAGACGTCCTTGGGTTTTGAGCTAACGCTTCCAAACAGATTCACAACTGAATTGTCATGTAAGAAATGCTGAATGAATGTCAATGAAGTAATACTTCTGAGTTTCATTAAGACTGTCTGATACCTCCTAGTGCAGGTTTAGCTCGTCAGACCAGTTTGTAGAATGAAATGTGTTTCTCTGGTTATACGTTGCATGTTCTCTGCAGTAAGTAGCAAGTCAAACATATGGTGTGAAAAAGAACTTGCACTTCATTATGTGATGAAAATATGTTTAATGTTTTTGTTTAATCTTTTTTTTTTAAAGCTAATTTGCCTTTTAAATCTAATATGGGCCTGAAGTGGCACAGAAGAAATCTTGATCTTCCCTAAAACCACATAGATTATATTGTTGAGAATTGTATAAAGAGGAATTAGAGGAGAGCTTACTTTCTCTTTCTTACCTCTTCGTGCTGGGTTAAAAGATCTATTCATCCATCTCATGGGCCCCTCAAATGCTCAAGAAATCTTCACCACTGATGTAATATAAAAGGAAGGTATTTGGATTATTTTTGAGAGGTCTTCTGTACAAAGAAAATAATAAGACAGTGTAGAGCGAAATAGTTCCTTCTGAAATATTTTCTAAGAGGTGTTGGGAAAATAACAAACAGTACCAAAAAGTTCTAAAGTTCTAAAAGTTCTAGAGGTACATTTCTCAGGTGATTAGCTAAAAAAGTCTCCATCAGCTGGAATGTTGCATTCTTCAGAGGTGACTGTAGCCCACTTGTCAGAAAACAGTATTCCAGATGGGGTTAGCAGTGATGGCTGACCGCTCCAGGAAGTGGAAGCACTTCTGCAATACTTTATTCTGAAAGCAGTTTAAACACTAGATGCTTACAGCCAGAAATTTTGGACCTTTAAGTTATGATTCTAGTACATACTTAAAAAAAAATGAGAGCGCAAGTTACAGAGGTACTGGGTACAATTCATGTGCGAAAACCTTTTTTACAGAAGTAAGAGCTAAGTGTGGCACAGAAATGTCGTTCTGCTTTCCTTCAATATTATCCTAGTCTGACAAATTTTAATCCTAGCTCAAACAAGATTTCATTGCATTATAGCACTGAGGCACTGTGGATAGATTTTTACAGAACAGGAGATAGGGATGCTGTAGTTAAATTTCTTCAATGTCCTAATTGTGTTTGTTTCAAATTTATTAGGTTTAAGGGTGATCTTTAGTAGAGAATTCATATCCAATGGAAATAATCTTGCACTTTGTTGATATCAAATGTATCCCAACAAGATCATTCATTCTTCTTCCAAAAAAATTGTTGCTAAAAGATACTTGTGTTCACACTTGGAGCAAGTGTGTCTTAGAGGCAAGAACTAACTGTCCTCTGCCTATTCAGATTTCCTGAGGCAACCTCAGTAGCCTGACAGTTTTAGATTCACTGTGGTTGTTCACATCCACAAATTCTGAATTTCTGTCATATATTACAGGCTTAGATGGCACAAGTTAAATTGCATTAGAGACTGAATTGGCATCTTTTGGCATAAATTTAGGAAAATTGGAGAAAGGAGGTCCAAAATCTATTATAGATGTAGAAGATGGGTCTAACTGTCTTTAATGATCACCCTTGCAAACCAAGTCTCTTCAGGTTACTTTTAGGTGAGTTCAGTAGCAGCATTTACCTTCTTGTTATAAGAGAAGAACCACCTCTGTTCTCTTTGTACTGGAGGGACCTTTGATAATATGTACTAGAACTCTGAAATAAAATTCCTGAACCATTCTCAACAAGGACAGGACTGGATTCATTGCTTGGCTTGTAGCACAAACAGATTTTGTTTCAGACACTTCAAACTTCCCAAGTCTTAGAAACAGGCAGTCCTTTCAAAATATTAGCCAAAGGTTGGGAAACCTGCAGTGGAAGTAAGTTATATTTATTTATGGAGATACATGCATATGCAAGTATCAAAATATGTTAAAAAATGGGAGAGGCATGGGAAAGGATAATGGAGCTAATAGCAAAAAGAGTATTGCCATGACTCACTTATATAGACCAGTTCCATATACCACTTTGTGTTGTGAAGTCATTTGAAAGAGTTAAAAAATTTAGGGGATTGTGTAAAATGTCATTCAAAAGTGCAGTTTTTGTAATGTTTCATTTATTTTTAAAATAATTTGGATTCTGTTCCAGATTGTTTACAATCCCTCCTTCCAAATTTGTTTCCCTTTTATCTGTGTAAGCATGTGCTGACGCTGTTACTCAGTATACACAAATGCTAATCTACCTTCATGCACATGGAAAATAGGTTTCCTGGCACTGAGTTTAAAACTCTCATAGAATACATTATTAATTGGAGAAGTTTCTCTTTTTAGAAAAGTTGTTCATTTATGTGGTCACATTTATGTTGAGAAGGTTACTGAGAAATAGAATGCTGTTTGTAAGCAGTGTGGTCTTCAGAACATACAACAAACCCCAGATACTGAAAGTGCATTTGAAAAAGATTTAAATATCAAAAGTAATTTTTCTTCTCTGTACACTGGTTGCATACACTAACGTGATCTAATTATAATGTAACGACAACTTCTTTTCTATTGCCCTGCATGCTTTAGTGCTCTAAATACTTTTCTCTTGGCAGATCTTTGCAGTGAGGTGAAAGTATGATAACTATTGGATTCTCAATTGTGAATAATTCCCTAGTTCTGCATTTGGCTTTCTGATAGATCATGTATCTCTGAAGTTCAAGGGGTAGCATTGTGAGGGAAGTGGGTAGGGTGAGCTGGTGTCCATGTGTACAATTCAGCTGAATCTGATTGCAGCTCAGTGACAGAGCGCCAGCAGCTTCTGTGAGGGCTGCCGGGCTGAACTGTTCCTTCAGTTACACGTGCTGGTCCTGCAAACGCTGCCGAGCCTTATCAAACACAGCCAGTTGGTGCTGCTGGTATGAAAGCACAGGGGAGCTCTCATGTGGAAGGTTAATGGAGTGTAATTAGAAAGAAGAATGAACTGTTCAACCACTCTATCTCACGCTACCTGCACTGAGAGTGACAAGTGCTCTGATCTTTTATAAACCCTAGAGCAGAGGTTTAACAGTCTGAAATTATGACAGTATAACTGTCGAACAAGCCAGTACACTGTGAAGAAGTAGTATGAACTTATGGGTAGGAATGTTTATGTTCCTTTATGTGGACTCTATTAGTATTTTTTTAATGCAGGATATTGTCCATACTTATATAGCAGATCTCAAATCCATTCTCCTGTGAAGTATCCATTGATGTCAGAAAGATCTTTGTGTGCCGTTTGTGCCTTCTTCATGTCTGCATATCACATAACCATTACCTTGCAGGATGAAGTGATGGGCACCATCCTAGGGCTTTGATACCAAGGCATTAAGCTTTCATAGAAAAGAGTTCTGGTGGAAGCAGAAACAGTTACTGGGGTTTATAATCCAGGGACTAAACAAAATTTGAGATTACATACAAAAATTGAGAGTGGATACTGATGCCTGATCCTGTGAATTAATTTAGGTACTATGTAAGTCTGTTGAAAACTATCATATTCTTAAAATTTTTTTTTGTCTTTTGTCTATAGCATGCAGTTGTGGGTTGGTTTTGTTGTTTTGTTTTTTTCTTTTAATAGAATACAGATAAACTTTAATTATGAAACTGCAGCTGGGAAGTAGAAGGAAGACACCTCACAGCCATTCCAAAAAACAAGGAAATTACTGATTTAACTTCCTGCATGTTAGAGGCCATTATATTCTACCCCAGTAATCCTGTCTGATGTCTTTTGATTCAGGGAGAACTGGACAGTTTGGTTATCAAGTATACTAAATTTTTGTCTTCCACATCTTTATTTTTCAGACAACAGGTGGTGGATTACGCTGCCAAATATTCTGAAGGCCCTTGCAAGGTCAGCAGGTTGATCAGGGGAAATTTGCCCAGCTAGTCCTAGCAGGCAATCCATATCCTGCATTGCAGTGGAAGGGAAAAAACATCCC